GAAATCCAAGGATTACTACTATCAATATGCCAGACTGAAAAACATAGATCAGAGTCAATGAAAATGATATGTTGTTTTTGAAGGAAAAAAAAAAAAAAAAAAAAGTGGCTTCCTTGATCTTTTGGAATAAACCACACATTTATGAGAGAGAATGCTGAAATAATCCTATTGCTAAACATAGCACTCATCTGTGACACTTGTTCTAACCAAAATTTAGGGAGATTAAATCAGATTAAATAACTGATATACAGTTCTTAGCATTTACAAAGGAATCAATAAATATAGAAACCTCTTTCTTTAAAGAAATTCTGTCTAAATCATGTGTTAGTTAATGTGTAATTCCTGACAGTTACTTCAAATTGGGAAGGAAACTTCTGTGATTGAATCACAGCCCTTCTTTCTCTGCATTAAGAACCAATTAAGAAACAGAGGTATGAGGTGGGGATCCAAATAGCAGCTTTGCTGAGCAGCTCGTGATTTGGAGATGCAGCTTGGATCAGACGGGCTTGCTGTTGCTTCATCCTTCATTTGGATTTAATTCAGTTTTAGGGAAGAAATGCTTTACCCCCAGTTCCCTGATGGCACAAACAAAACAGACCCATTCTAGAACCAAGAAGAGCCAAAGGAGGAAAGCCACAGGCCCTAAAAGCACAGCAAACATCACACTTTGCCTAAGAAGAACTGGACCAATAAAGGTCAGACTCCTGCCCTCATGACAGTCAAATTCGTTATTTCTCTTCCAAGGAGAAGTATATGAAAAATGTAAAATGGCAAAGTGTTACTCCAATAGTGTTCCTTCCTGGAAAAGAAAAGTTTTCTCATGAAAACAAGAAAAGGTAAGTAAGGTTTTTCCTTAAAAATGATCTGGAAAATGAAGCTGTCATTTGTTTCTAAAACTGAGACAATATGTCTATGAGCATCCATGCAGTAATATATCAGAAATATTCCAAAGTATATGATGAATGGCAAGTGGAAGGCAGATACAATTTTAATATAGGGGAACTCATGATATATTGTCATTTTAATTGCTATGATATTTGTGTCATTTTCTTCCCTTAATTTGTGTTTTTAAAAATACTTCCAAGAAAAAAACCTGTGCTGCAAGTTTAACATTAACTAAAAGTCACAGGCTCATATTTAAATCTTATCCTGTTGGAAAAATAATCCCAACTTATGTAGTGCATGATGGTGAATTATAAATATATTCCTGACACAACATTACTAAGTTAGAAAAATTGTATGGTTCATTAAAAATAGGTCAATTTATTTGAATAGATTTTTTAAAGAAAACTACAAAACATGGTATGAAGTTAGATTAAAATTAAATAACTTGAATAAAATGTTTATTTAAAAATTATTTTAAAAATACAGTAATCATAATAAAAATAACTTGGAAAGCTACCTCACTGATGTAGTCAAAATGATTTTAGCCAAATTCGCAATGAGACCTAGGCAGGAAAATATATCAAGAAAGAACAAATTTAAGAAAGCATGAGTTGCTCTTGAGGAGGCCAAGATTTTAATGTGGACTTCAGGAGACATTTACTTGGAGGCATCTTAATTCTTGAAGCAGAAAGGCCCAACTTTGCCCTCCATACTGAAACAGAAGGTAAATTGTGACTGTTAAGTCAAACCTAACTTAGGATATCCATCCTCGAAAAATTTCTTTTGCATCTAAAGCTATGTAGACAGTTAACTTCTATTTCTTAAACATTTGTTTATTGAATTTGAATTTCAAATGTAGAAACAATCTGTGAAAGTAACAGGAACTCTCATTCATTGCTGGGAGGAATGCAAACCAGTACAGCCACTTTGGAAGACAGTTTGGCAGTTTCTTACAAAACTAAATGCTCTTACCATACGATCCAGCAGTCACACTCCTAGGTATTTTCCCAAATGAGTTGAAAACATACGTCCACATAAAAACCTGCCCATGAATGTTTATATCAAATCATAATTGGAAAACCTGAAAGCAACCAAGATGTCCTTCAATAGGTGAATGGAGAAACAAACTGTGGTACATCCTGACAATGTAACATTCAGCTATAAAAAGAAATGAGCTATCAAGCCACAAAAAGACATGGAGGAAACTTAAATGCATATTGCAAAATAAAAGAAGTCAGTCTATAAAGGCTACATCCTGTGCGATGCCAAGTATATGACACTCTAAAAAAGGTAAAACTATGGAGATAGTAAAACGATTAGTAGTTGCCAGGGGCTCGGGAGAGGGACGTATGAATAGGTGGAACACAGAAGATTCCTAAGGCAGTGAAACTATTCTGTATGACACTGTAATAATAGACACATATCATTATACATTTGTTAAAAACCACAGAATGTACAACACAAAAAGTGAGCCCTAATGGAAACTACAGACTTTAGTTAATAATAGTGAGTCAATATTGGTTTATTGATTGTACAAAGGTACCACACCAATGCAAGATGTTAGCAACAAGGAATCTTTGTGTGGTCAAAAGAAGACATATGGGAACTCTCTGTACTGTCTGCCCAATTTTTCTATAAACCTGAAACTGCTATAAAAATATAAAGTATAGCAATATTTTTTAAGTAGCCATGAAAACATTCCAAGACAGTTTGCTGTTTTCCTTGTTCAAAGACACGAAGATAACCTTTCACATTTTTATAGATATTATCTTGTTCTAATATTCTTTGTCTTTTAAATTCAAATTATAAAAATTTCTGGCTTTCATATTCATAAGGATCAATAAAATGAATATAGTAGTAGAGTGTTCAAACAAAAATTAATATTTTTTTTTCAGCCCAAAGCTATGCACTGTCCTCTCTATGGATAAAGTCTCTTGAGCTGTTCTTGAGAAGTTCATCCACTATGCAGATAAAATGTGTAAAGTGACCTTTTGTTCAGGCCAGGAGAAGTTCAGCATAACCGTGTCATGAAGTGTTTGGGGGAGAGTATAGACTAATTTTATATCCAGGTTAGTGGGTACAGTAGGTATTAAAAATCTTCCAACACTTTTTCTCAGAGATTCACTGTTACGGAACTCTAATGTGATGGGATGTCATAGTTCCCATCCAGATCTATGACACAAGAGCAGGGAGGACTCAAAGAACATCTACCAGAGAGCCCAAAATTACGGCACTTGGGGATGAATCCCGGCATTGAGTTAGAAGGGATAATGGGAGACGTTGATCTAGGTCTATGATGTGCTTGATGCTAGAACTTGTCTTTTATTAACCTTGAAACTGATTATATGTGAATCTTGAAAAAGCTAATTAATAAAGCTGTCACACTTGGTAACTAAACCACCTAGGGTGTTAATTCTCCCACACTAAAAATTACACAGGGATTGTTCTTGCTTGATGGACTGCAGCAACTGAAAGAGTCAGCAGCTACACAGCAGGCTGTCTCCACTGCAGCCGGAATCCCTGCCACCACAAGCCCATCTGTAGACAGATGTCCCACTCATGCTACCTTGATCTTGTACTCTTCAAGTGTGGTTGGCTGAAATATTGACTAAGCATTGACCTTGAGGGAATTCATCCATTTAGCAAGAAGCACTTTCTTCATTGGGACATGAATTGGAAAAATTAACACGTATGAAAAGGGCTGCAAATGTGGCAAGATTTTTCCTAGCAACCGTGGTAGTGTTTGGAACATGGAATTCATCTAAAACTTCAAGCGGAGGTCTGTTGAGAACTACCTCTACTAAGCAAATAATATCCCTTAGCAAGCAGTGCATGGAAGTAAGACCCAATTAGACTGGGCTCCTCTCCTGTCCAGATGCTAAGGAGCTAGAGAACTGGGCATTTAAAGAGGTGGGGCTGTGTTAGTCTGCTCTTGCCTTGCTATATACATACATGAAACCTGTGACTGGGTAATTTATAAAGAAAAGAGGTTTAATTGGCTCACAGTTCTGTAGGCTGTACACGAAGCATAGTGCCGGCATCCGCTTCTGGCAAGGGCTTCAGGAAGCTTACAATCCCAGTTGAAGGTGAACAGGTGCCTGCATGCCATATGAGGAAAGCGGGAGCAAGAAAGAGAGAAGAGGGAGGTCCTAGACTATTTTAAACAACTAGATTTAGGGCCGGGTATGCTGACTAACTCCTGTAAACCCTTGTAATCCCAGCACTTTGAGAGGCCGAGGCAGACAGTTCATTTGAGGTCATGAGTTCAAGACCATCCTGGCCAACATGGTGAAACCCCGTCTCTACTAAAAATACAGAAAAAAAGCCAGATGTGGTGGTGCGTGTCTGTAATCCCAGCTACTTGGGAGGCTGAAGCAGGAGAATTCCTTGAGCCAAGAAGGCAGAGGTTGCAGTGAGCCAAGATCTCACCACTGCACTCCAGCCTAGGCAGCAGAGAGAGACTCTGTCTCAAAACAAAACAAAACAAAACAAAACAAAAACAAAAACAAAAAACAAAACAAACAAGCAAAAAATACTAGATTCAGGATGAACTGAGTGAGAACTTATCACCAAGGGGATGGTGCTGAGTCATTCATGAGGAATCCACCCCCATAATGCAATCACCGCCCACCAGGCCCCACCTCCAATATTGGGACCACATTTCAACATGAGATTTGGAGGGGACAAACACCCAAACCATATCAAGGCATTATATCATTTTAATATAATGACTGATTTTACTTGGTTTACTCAGTAGTGGGATTGCTGGACTGAATGGTAGTTCTATTTTTAGTTCTTTGAGAAATCTTCATGCTGTTCTCCATTTACATTCCTACCAACATTTTATAAGCATTCTTTTTTTCCTGCACCCTTTTCAACATCTGTTATTTTTTGTATTTTCAGTAATTGCCATTCTGACTGGTGTAAGATGACATCTCATTGTGGTTTCAATTTTCATTTTATTGGTGATGTTGAGCACTTTTTCATACGCTTGTTTGCCATTTGTATCACAGCACTATGCACAATAGCAAAGATATGGAATCAGCTTAAATGTCCATCAGTGGATGATTGGATAAAGAAAATGTGGCATATATACATCGTGGAATATTATGCAGCCAAAAAAGAATGCAATCATGTTTTTTGCACAACATGGATGAAACTGGAGGTAATTATCTTAAATGAAACAACTCAGAAACAGACAAATACCATGTACTCTCAATTAGAAGTGGGAGCTAAATAATATGTACACATGAACACATGGTGTGGAATGATAGACAATGGAGATTCAGAAGAATTGGTGGGTGGGAGTGGGTGGGAGGGGGTGATGAGAAATTACTGAATGGGTACAATATACATTTTTGTGATGATGGATACACTAAAAGCCCTAACTTTGCCACTATATAATATATCCATGTAACAAAATAGAACTTGTACCCTTCAAATCTTTACCAGTTAAAAAAAAAGAGAGATTGGAGGTTTGAAAGTGTCTCCAGTAGACTCTCCAGTTCTACAGCTGGAGAAAGCTCAAGGATTGCACCTGGAATTGGACCAGAGCACTTTATTTGCACTCAACGCTAAAAATAGATGGCCCATGATGTACATGAACAGAAATATATTCAGCGTGTCAATACGGTTGGCACCAATTTAAGACAAACCGTGTTGAACAGATTTTCTACTTTTAGTCACTAATGACGTAGAGTACTAAATCAGGGACATTGTTTTTAGAGGATTTTAGTTTAAATGTTCCTATTATCTACAATTGACGCTTTCCCTCAACCCATATGGAAGACAAATATATCCTGATAGATCAAATGAGTGACATGTTTCTCAAAAATTAGATTCAGGCCAAAAAGTGTATGCCAGTGAGGAAGAATTGAGATCAAAAAGTCCTGTGTGGTCTTCGGAATGAAAAGTAAAATAAAATAAAAAATAAAAAGACTTGGAGACAAACGTCCACGAATGACTCCTGATGCAGGCAACTGTGCTGAGAATAAATGAAATTAGTCAAAGTAAATGTTCAGTATTTCACTTTGGATATATATCACTAAGGATAATTGACCACATTTACTCACAATTATTTATGGGAACAAAAACACATTGTAAGTCCTCAATCAATCAGGTCTTCCTTAGTGTGCTATTTAGACTGGGCTAAATAGATACAGGATGGCACCGAAAAGGGTGAAAACCAAACCTTAGCATAAATCTGTTTTTCTTGTTTGTAGTCATTTGTTTTTCTCCCTCTGGACAGCACCTGAAGCTTCCAGTAATGTCACCAATTTGTATTAATACTGCAGATCTTCTTAGACTTTACACCCGTACACAAAAGGACATGGGGTATTTAGGAAAACGTGTACTTCCAAACCTATTTGTTTTGGTACTGGCAGTAGAATAAACAGAGATATACCTGACTAACTGGGAAGCCTGGAGCATGTTGCCAATTTTCTCTGGATTTCAGGCTCCTCACCTATTACATCTCTCCATCTACTCAGAGATTAGACTGAATAATGATTTATAAGACAATTTTCAGTTTTAGCGATCTGTGATATTTTTAATATAATCCAGGCCTTTGAGTCTGCCAGTAGGCTTTTTTTTTTTTAAACTTTGAAATGAATCCAAATTTCTCTTTCCTCTTTTCCACTCTGCTCCCAAAGTACTTTGTTTTTCATTGCTGGCTGAGATACTGAGAAGATACAGCATATGCACAATTTAGTTTTGAAGACAATTATTCAAATTTTCCAATAGAAATCTTCTATTTTAATATTTTAAAAGTACTTTGGAAGTAGCATTTCAGACATAAATGGAAAACTGGTAGTGTAAGGATGAATACAGTAATTTTAAAAATTTCAAAGAAAATGATTTAACTTATTCATGAGAAAGCAATTATTTTAAATATATTTAAGTTCAAAGATGTCATTTACTATCCATAAATGTGAATCATGTATTCATAATTATTATTTAGTGAACATTAATAATAAAGCACATTATTCTGAAGTCTAATCCTGTCTCTAATATGAATAAGGAAAATGATAGCTATAGCAACAAAAATTTCACATTGCAAATTTATTACCTATACATGAAGCATTTTGAGATTTTCAGTCCCAAAACTGTGTTTATCTAAATTTGAGCAGGGTGTTTCTTCTGAAAGGATCGTTGGTTAACAGAACAAGGGACTCCTCTGTTCTAGATTCAAGGAATGCAAAGGTAAACATAATTCTGATTCTAATTCTCAGTGAAAAAATTCCTGTCACTGTTGCCTTAGTTTCCATAGAGAATCTGACACAATTTCCATAAACTCCATCCTCAAACACACAGATAATGTTGACTTTCTCTAGCTGTAGCAATGTGAATTTTCCCTTAGATTGGAGAGATCTCAACCCTTACGTTAGGTTCTGCGTTTCCATGGCTTAGAGGTGGCTAGGCAATGGAAACTTCATATTGCTGTTTTGAAGCGGTAAGTGCACCCCATGAGTGTATTAAACATTATACCCCTGTACTAGGTCGAATATTGTCTCCCCTAAATTTATGTCTCCCAGAAACTCAGAATATGAATTTACTTGGAAATAGGGATTATATAGATATAATAAATTAATCTGAGGTTATACTGAATTAAAGGGGGTCTTAAATCCAATATGACTGCTGTCCTCACAGGAGGAAAATTTGGACACAGAAACACAGACATAAGTGGGAGACGGCCCTGCAAAGACAGATGCAGAGATCAGTGATGCCGCAGCAAACCAAGGAAGGCCGAGGAGTGCCGACCACCAACAGAAGCGAGGGAGGGGCAAGGAAAGCATCTTCTCTAAGAGCCCTCCGGAAGAGCATGGGTCACCTGACATTTGATTTTAGATTTCCAGTCTCCAGAAATATGGGAGAACAAATTTCTAATGTTTTAAACCACCCAGTTTATAGTATTTTCTTATGACAGCTCTAGAAAACTAATACACCCTCTCTCAATAAATTAGTAAGTGATGTGTTATACAATTAAAATTAATTGTATTTAGAAGTTTTTAAGTATTCACTAAGAAAGAACATACAAACAAACGAAATACATAGCACATATAAGACAACAATAATGGACAAGAGATATAAAGTGAATAGTAGAGAAATAAGGAAAATAGAATGTTGCCTGCATTTTGGAAATTTCTCCATCATATCTCCCTCACCCAGATATAATTGCTTTCCTGAGTTTTATTTCAATTATTTCTCAGATATTCTTTAGTTTAACACCTTAGCATGTATTCCTAAACAATATATTTTAGTTTTAACTCTTGGATGACTTCATATAATTGAAATCATAAAGTACAGACATGTACCACATAACAATGTTCAGTCAACAATGAATCACATATACGATGGTAGTCCCATAAGATTATCATACTGTATGTATTTTTACTATGAATTTTCTATGTTTAGATATACCAATAACATTTTATTACAATTGCCTGCAGCATTTGGTAGAGTAATTTGCTGTACAAATTTGTAACCTAGGGGCAATAGGCTATACCTATTATACACCTATAGCTTAGGTGTATAATTGGCTATGCCATCTAGGTTTGTGTAAGGACACTCTGATGTTGAAATAGTGATGAATTTATCTAAAGACGCATTTCTCAGAACGTATCCCTGTCTTTAAATGGCATATGACTGTACGTGTGTGTTTTCACTGGTTGACTTTTAAAGTTTATCTATGTTGTTATATATGCTGCGATATGTTCATTTGCATTAATGTACTATAATTCTGAATGAACTGTACCATTATTTTCTTATCCATTCTACTGTTGGTGAACATTTGGTTTGTTCCAGAGTACAGCTATTATGAATAATACTACCATGAACATTCTTGTACATGTCTTCATATGTGCAGAAATATATAACTCTACTTACTCCATACCTAAATTAAAACTGCACCATCAGTGAGGTATGCATAACTTAAAATTATTTATCAACACTCTTGCACCAGTTTTCACTCCTCTCAGCAGCATATAAGTCTCCATTGTTCCATAACCTTTCAGACACTTTACATTGCACAATATATTTCACTGTGTGTATTAGTCAGGGTTCTCTAGAGGGACAGACCTAATAGGATAGATACATAAATAAAGGGGAGTTTGTTAAGGAGTATTAACTCACACGATCGCAAGGTCCCACAGAAGGCCATCTGCAAACTGAGGAGAAGGACAGCCAGTCCAAGTACCAAAACTGAAGAACTTGGAGTCTGATGTTCGAGAGCAGGAAGCATCCAGCACGGGAGAAAGATGTAGGCTGGGAGGCTATGCCGGTCTCATGTTTACACATCTTTCTACCAGCTTTATATTCTAGCCATGCTGGCAGCTGATTAGGTGGTGCCAACCCAGGTTAAGGGTGGGTCTGCCTTTCCCAGCCCACTGACTCAAATGTTAAACTCCTGTGGCGACACCCTCACGGACATACCCAGGATCAATACTTCGCATCTTTGAATCCAATCAAGTTGACAGTATTAACCATCGTACTGTGATGATTTTAATTACTCTAAATTAGTAATACAGTTATGGAGATATATAGCCTTTGCTCATTTATTTGCCTATTCAAGATTTTTGCTCATTTTTTTCTATTGATTTTTTTGTTTCCCTTAATGACATTTAGAGTTATTTCCATATTCTAGATACCAGTTCTTTATTGGTTATATGTATTGCAGCTACCCTCTCCCGCAATATGAAGGGTCATCACATACAGTGGTATGTGTTATGCCAAAAACAAGGGCACCCAGCCACACTGGTGAGTGAGAGCTGAATCTCATCTTGTGCTTCACTCATGGAGCTGCTCTTATGAGACTGTAGTACTCAAAGAGGTTGCCTTTTTTTTTCCCCCTCGCTCTATCGCCCAGGCTGAAGTGCAGTGGCACGATCTCGGCTCACTGCAACCTCCGCCTCCTGGGTTCAAGTCATTCTCCTGCCTCAACATCCTGAGTAGTTAGGATTACAGACACACACCACTAAGCCTGGCTAATTTTTGTATTTTTAGCAGAGACAGTGTTTCGCCATATTAGTCAGGCTGGTCTTGAACTTCTGACCTTGTGATCCACCTGCCTTGGCCTCCAAAAGTGCAGAGATTACAGGTGCGAGCCACAGTGTCTGACCAGAGGTTGCTTTTCTAATCTATAGTGCTCTTATCTCACCGCCTGTCCTTTCACTCTTAGGTCTTTTAATGAACAGCAATTGCTAATTTTAAAGTGGTAAATTTTATCAGTATTTTTCCTTATGGTTAGAACTATTTTGTAGCTGGTTTAACATGCTTCCTTATCTTAAGGGATCAAATAACTTCTTCCAGATTATTTCAACTTCTTTATTACATTTAAGTCTTTAATGTAAAATTTTATTTTAATTGGATACCCAATATTCCCAGCATGATTTAATAAAAAGCAACAATTGTGTTTTCCATATTACTCTATAGTAATACATTTGCAAGAAATCAAATGCCAATTATTGAAGATATTGTCTCTGTATTTGATTCTCATCGATTGGTGTGTTTGCCCATGAAACAATTCTAAACTAGCTTTATTACTATTTTTTATAACACGTTTTGATCTGTTAAAACAAGTTCTTCCAACTTTTACTTCTCTAAGACTGTTGTGACAATATTTGGTGCTTCACATTTCCGTATAGATTATAGACTGTTAGGTTACACAAGATCTCACACACACACACACACACACACGCGCACACACACACACACTTGAAATTATGATTTTAAATACATTCACATATTTGGAGAAAATTGAGATAATGCAAATGTCCCACTTTCTATTCTGTAAACATGGTATATTTTTTAATGTATGTGAATTATTTTATGACCCTTCTCTCCAGGCCATGAGTTTGCAGAAATAGAGGAGAGGAAGGTTCACTTCTGGTTCATGCTTAGTCTGAATAGCCTCTGATTTTCAAGTAAATGTGGGAAGGATCTCTTATAAGGCTCCTTACCTTGATAGTTCTGGGCCCTGAATAGTTTCTACTTTCCTAACTGAAACTCCATTGTGAGGTATTAGAAAATGATCTCAAGACAAAATCAGCTGCGATGCTCTCACATTTTTTGTTACCTGAGTTCATAATTTTCTACAAAAACCTAGCACAATTATTCTGCACTATTTTTAAGCACTTCAATCCCATTAAAAAATTAAAGAAAATATTTTGAGCATTTATAAAGCAAGATAATTGATCCTACAAAACTAGCTCATTGCTACAGGAAAGGGAATGTCAAATATACATTTTATAAAAGACTATTTTAGGCATTTATTTTTAAATAATAAAATATGGAAGGCATGTAAAATAACTGGAGAATTCTTAGGATGTTTAATGTTAACCTGATGTTTTAAAATTATTTTATACGTACCACATGTCAGTTAATTCATATTTCATGTTATTTGTCAATATATTAACAATTTAAAGACAGAAAGCACGAGCTTCATGAAGAAAAAGTTAATCCCTCAAACATGGGTTTTAAACTTCATGTTTTGAATGCCTTCATTTCTCTAAAGATCTTTCAAGCATTGCTATGTAGGAATAGGTGAAGAATAAATGAGCCCAATCAAGAAACCTCACTTTACAAACAATAATTCTGTGTTTTCTTCTCCTTATTAGGTTGGAATTTGTAATGAAATTTAGTTGAAAGAATGACTGCCAAAAAGAAATACTTGAAAATCACTGGTCTGTAAAAATGAAGATTCTCAAGTATGCTGATTAAATAGTACCTGAGCTACTGTATTATAATCTGAAAGCCATACCTCATGAAATGCATCCAGTGGAGAGTCGCCTCAATTAATTCTAAGGAAATCTGAACTGCATTATATAAGAGATTATCATTCGTTCAGCAAGTATTTATTTACCGGATTTTCACTAATCCACTGGGCACTTCTACAAGACTGAAGAAGAGGAGAAAAGGTTTTATGGCTGATGAAGCCGACATTTTAGTGGGTGAGACAGGAAAAAACATATAATAAAATAATGGTCAATACAGTACTGGCAACGATAATCCATATTTTTCAAGTTGATGAGTTCATAAAGTGTGTCAGAAAAAGGTATAAAAATTGTAACTAATAAATACAATTGAAATACATCTGAAAGTCTTGAAAGCCAAGCAGCCAACTCCTATTTTTAATTTAACAAATACATAAAATTTACTTACATAGGGATGTTTCATAAGTTGGTATCAAAGATTAGTAACAAAAGGGAATCTTCATCTCTGTATTCCTTCTTTAACTTTATATTCAAGATCTTTAGATTTCTTTTTCTTTGTATTTTTTTCTTCTCCCTACCTTTGGACATTTATCATGTTGTCTCTGTAATGCCCTTAAATGTTTAAACAAAAATGGATGGTGAGAGGCAAGGAACTGTGAAGTTCATTAAAATAACCCACTCTTCCATTTTGCAATTTGCAAAACATAGGGACATCTTTTGTGAAATGCAACACTTCTGCCTCTTTCGATTTATTAGATCTTGCCTCTGGCCTGTAACAAAAGTCGAAGACACTGGAGAAACCATAAAAGACCCCTCCACTGTAAAAGTCAATGAAATTGTTCCAGGGCAGGGAATTATGTGTCAAGGCAAGCTGACAGTGGCATCTGCTGCTGTATTGACTGTTCGCGTTTGCTCAAATGCTCTGGCCAGCTGGATGGTGTCTCCTTTCTCTCCTCACCTAACCACATGTGTTCCCCTAAGGCCATCTTCTAGCTGAAGGCATACATGGCAGAAAACCAAAGTAGCACTCTTCTTTAATGTGAGGACATTACTTGTGAAATTTTCTGCTACCACAGCTGCTGGCATAATCAGAGAGTGAGGTCTGTTTAGTGCAGATAGAAGGGGCCAGGACAGAGGGAAACATAGAGGAGATAGGAGTGCCCTGATGCTCTGAAGGGAGCAGTCTGCCCACATTGATGTTTTTTAGATAGTTTTGATTTTTCATTTATTTTAATGGCTATACAAAAAAAAATATGTTTTTTCCCTTTTTAGTTTCTCACTCAACTTTGGTCCCATCTCCAAGAAATCGCTCTATGTGTATACAAATGTTCAGCTTGTAATATTTTGTCACCCATCATTTTAATTCTGTGATTTAAGTGTTACCATTTTCAGTTGATTTTAAAAAATAGTATAATGTTCTATATGAGTTTGTATTTTAAATATTATTTCAACAGCCTTACTATATTTTTAAACTTTGACCAAAAATTGTGCTATTAAACAACTCAGATTTTTGAAATTCTACATGATTTTTTTTAATTAGTAAAAGATAAACAGGTAGTTCTTAAAGACATAAATACAAAAATATTCTGGGATGGACAATTTAATCCTATGAGACTTTTTTTTCATTGTATTAGAGTAGGCATGATACTGATGAAGTCCATTACATACATGCTTCTATAGATGTATGTACATAGATATGCATTTGCATATTTTTTACTAGCCTGAGGAAGAATTTATGGCTAATACGTTTTCCTCTTCATTATTACCAGCACAATTTGTATTTTAAGGATTTTAACTTTCTACTACCATGTTTCTCTAGCTCATTCTGATTTATGATTCCATATATACAGGTTGAGTGTTCCATATCTGGAATGCTTGGGACCAGAAGTGTTTGGGATTTGGGAATATTTGCATATATATTATGAGATTTCTGGGAGATGGGACTCAAGTCTGAATAAGAAATTCATCTATATGTCTCATACATCTTATGTGCATCACCTGAAGGTAACTGATTTTTCCTTTGGTGACACTGAATAAATTGTGTTGTATGTGTGCACTTTGACTGCCACACCTCACACAGGTTCCAGTGTGGAATTTTTCACTTGTGGTATCATGTTGGCGCTCAAAAAGTTTCAGATTTTGGAGCATTTATGACCAGATTTTCAGATTAGGAAATGTTCAACCTGTAAAACCTATTAACTTCCTGCTGTTAAAGACGAGGATTTATTTCACTTCTGCCACTCTCAAAATACTCTACCTTCCAATTATACCATTGTTTCTCTACCAGTTGCCACCATAATTTTAAATAATATGTATAGGCTTCTACTTTTGATTGCATTAATTGGAGACAATATTTTTTGACTCTACCCTTGATGATGGGATAGATGAGCAAATCAGTTCTGTAACCCTTCTTTCTCCCTGCTTGTTTGTCATTCCCAAATCCTATTGGAAATAAGTTTGCTTTTATGTTACCATTGCTGGTATTCTTCTCCGTCACATAGTTTCCTCACACTGTTTTCTTAGGTTGTGTACACAAGTTTAAAACCAATAGAACAACATAAATTATTTTAATTGTATCTAATTATAATTGTTAAACTAATTAATTTTATAGTATGTAATTATATTAATTATAACATTATAATTATGTATTCGTCTCTTTAGTTCCAACATTTTAGTCTTGTGCAATTTTAAACTAAAAATCTTCAAAAAAATTTTTGTATGCTCCACCAATTATTTACCATCAGGCTAACATATTAGTTTGCTTCTTACCTGGATTACACCTTTCTCCACAGTTAGGAGTTGTTTTTGCTTTTTCTTTTTTGCTGAAGTCATTATCCCTTATTGAAGGTAATTTTTTAAAATTTTATAACAAATATCTTCCAGCTCTTCTTTGTCTCTTGCTGAGAATCTGATGTGACTGATGTAAAGCTCACCAGCATCTGATCTTGAGTAAATTGTTTTGTATCAGGGGAAATACGTTTTCTGTTGTTGTTGTTGTTGTTGTTTTGT